TATTCTATTCTATTCTATTCTATTCTATTCTATTCTATTCTATTCTATTCTATTCTATTTTTATTGTAAACATGCATGGAAAACAAAAACAAAATGATAACAAAATGAACATAATTAAAAAGGAATGGGAAGAAGTAAAAACTGATTTAATCCCACCCTTCACCAAAGCTTCTTCTCCAAAGTTTATAAGTACGAGGTTAGACTGAATCTCCTTTTTTGTTCTGTTTAGCTTTTTCTGTCTAATTACAGCACAACGATCAAAGCTAAAATACTTAATATCACAGATCTCAAACGAAAAGGATTAAAAAAACCCAGTTAATGTGTAATAAGAATTTGCATGACCTTTAACTGTGCAGTTTTGATTCGTGACCTACTTGCAAAATATATTTTTGATACAAAAGAAATCCATTTTGTAGCATACTTTTCATCCACTAAAAAACAAAACTTGAAGCAAAATAAAAACATACCACTTCAGTGAATGACAGTATWATAATTAATAAGACAACATGAAAATAATATTAATGAAAACTAATTAAATGACTTGTAAGAATATTTATTTATTTATTTTTACTAGAGCTATTACTGTGAACACAGATGTAAAATCTTTACCTTTCCGTAGTACAGGATGTGACAGAGGTCCCGGATGATGCTGGGTAGTTCGATGATCTTTTCCCTGCATTCCTCAAACTGAGCTGCTACGCTGTAGCACCTGCAGATGTGCCCACACACCTGAGAGAAAAATGTGGAAAATGTTTTATAGAAATTGTTGCAGTGAGCAGACGTGTGCTCTACTGAGAAACACGACTTCAGTAGAACATTAAATGTTATCTATTTTTGTCTTTTTTTACCTGTACAGCCATGTCATCAGGTTTACTGGATGCAGTTAATACAGCGACACATCGAGAGAGCGCCTCCAGCAGTATCTACACAAACAGAAAGTATCGTTTATTCACCTCCTCTACCTCTGTACCAACATTTCTTTTACAGATGCTGACGTTTCAAATGCGTGTACCTCGATGCCGTTCTCTCGACGCAGCTCCTCTGCGTTCAGAGCCGAACAGTTTACCGTGTGGAAGGCCAGTTCAGCAGCAGCCGGGAGGAGAGGGGACAGTTTAGAGAAAAGCTGCTCGTCCTCAGTCTCCATCTTGATGGTTTTAATGAGCATTGGATAACCGGCGTATTTGTAAGGTTCCAGTTCTGTGGGAATGATTAAAACAACAGCAGCATTAGAACAGCCAACATGAAGTAAATCGCTTTCATTCACGTCTTGAAATTATTCAGTAAAATACACAAGAATTAGATTCTTTTTAGGTGACATAAGGAAAACAAAAGTTTCATTTTCACACCTTGTTTGTGTCGATTAAAAAGAATGCTCTGGGCTTTAAGGATGAGAATTATGTTTTCTGGGTCAGGACCATCCACGATTCTGGCAGATTTAGTGCAAAGGAACTCGTACGCTTTGTTAACTTTCTCAAACATGTCCTGGAAGGAGACAAGACGTTTTGGAGAAGTAATAAATTAATTATTCTAACCCTAAAGTTACTTATTGTAAAATAAGGTGCGTATACTCACCCTTCCTTCTGGGTTTTTGTCAGGATGGTACTTCTGTGCCAGTCTGAAGTAAGCTTTCCTGATTTTACTTTCCTCGTGCCTCAATGGAACAACAGTAAAATGTGTTAGCTCCGTGTAAATTCACCAGTGACATAAATAATTCAATTCAACAGCTTTACGTCACATTTTGTTTTTAACTCCACTGAAACCAGAAACACTAAATCTCTTCCACTCACTGGCCCTGTCCTTTGGGGAGGTTCAGCACTTCATAAGCGTCGTCCACAGACATCGAGGGTGGCTTCTTCTCCACCTCCTTCTTCCAGGCTTCAAGAGTATCCTTCAACAGTTTCACCTGTAGGAGGAAACACACCCAGTAATCATGATACGAAAAGAAGCTTTTGTTTGGTAATCAAAGCATGGCACCAACAGAAAATAATAACTAAATCGTACAGCATCACGAATGGGCCAGTTGGGGAAGCGTGTGGTGTCACACAGGTGCCTGAGGTAGTAAATGTTGCAGAAGAGCTCGTTATCCAGCTGAGGGAAGCTGATCACAGGGATGGGACAGTACTGGTAAAGCGCCCGTGTGTTGCTCTGCAGCCTGGGGCTGAAGTCAGCTATATGAGCCGCTATCTTCTCGATCATCATACGCCTGAAGAAAGAGCAGAATTAAATGTATATGAGTGTTGCTTTTGTTCTTTAAATGGTACAAACTAATTTTAAAAAATAAACAAAAATGTGCCCACCTCATCTCACTGCTCCAAATGGCCTCAGGTGTGTCAAATTCCCCAAGGAATATCTCTGAGAAGCGCTCAGCCTCATAGTTCTCCAGATAACACACCATGGCCTCAGGCAACACTGGACCCAGAATGCTACGCTGCACAATGTCCTGACCCTTAGACTGGAAAGACAGCACAGAGGAACATTGTCCATTTAAAACAGAACACTATTCTTACAGCTTTACTTTACAGAAAGTAAAGATTTGCATCTGAAGTTACATTTACCTCCTCTGACTTGAAGGCTTGTTTCAAATGAGTATACTTCAGGAACCTACAAAAATACAGAAAGGCCACAAATGGTTATTTATGATGACTGATGTCATGTGTGCACTGCAATTATGTTCATTTGCACAAAATGTCTTTCCATCTGCAAGAACGTTTACTTGCAGTTTTTTTTTTGTTTTTTGTCAGTAGCTCCAATTCTTAGCTAGCTTCAGTTAGGCTTATTTAGTCAATAGTCTCATTTTATCTTGATGTTTTATTTCAATATTTTACTTCATATCTTACATTTTCATTTTAATTTAAACCTCGTACTTTTGTTTTTCATTCCTTGTTTGTGTTGTATGTTCTGCACCGCAACAACACCATGTCAAATTCCTTTTATCATATTCTGATTCGTTCAATTAATTTGCAATATTTAACACTAAACTTTTATGAGTTATTTCCTGGAAGAAATTATTAGCCTAATAAATAGGAATAAAGACTTTCAATTTATACACTTATGTCTGCAATAATTTGGTTTTAAAACCTCTTAATGGCATTGTGATTAAAAGACTAAAGATGTTTATAAAAACAACACAGACTGATGTCTACACACAATGCCTACATTAGTGCTTGTGATGCGTGTTTACCTCGCTACGGGAAGCACATTGGAGCCTGTGTACATCATAATGAAAAAGAAGACCCCCGTCAAATAGAGGCGTTGCAAAGTGGGGTTGTCCTGCATCACCAGGTACAAAAGATTGGCAACCTTTTCCACCAGAATAGGGTCAAAAGTCAAAAGCAGCTGGAAAAACAAAGAAGAAAGCACTGAATGTCATTTGATTCTCACCAACTAGAGAATGATACATCTGTAAGGGCATAAAGTGAAAATTTTTATTTACCTGAACAATATGTGGGAGGCAGGCATTGTCGCCAATCATCCTCTTGATTTTAGGTAAAGGTCGAATGACAGCATTATCCTGGTCCCTGAAAATAAAATACTTCTAATTTATCACTCAACAAAAAAACAGCCATTTATTTAAAAAAATGCAGATATAAAAACAAAATAACATCTTGGAAAACACAAACCAGTGCTCCCTACCTGCTGGGGTAATAGGAGCACATGGTGATGAGCATGTTGAGGATCAGAGTGGCCAGGTCGGACTCGTTCATCACCGCCTGCCCCGTCGCCAGCAGGCACCACTTCAGTTGAGGAATGGCCTGCAAGGGGCGCCAACCATCCATTCCCTGAGCCCAGCAGCGAGTCTTTGCTGTCAGGACACCACTGTTCCAAAACTCCTGCATCTGAATAAATAAGAATATAATCTTTAATTAGATACGCAGGGCATTTGTACTCAGTTATACCAACATGGTTAGCTTACCAAGTTGTTACAAATGATAGTGTTCATATTTCTGTTCTATTACAAGTTGCAACGTTTTGCAAAAAACATTTATCTTTTAAGTAAAAAAAAATTAACTGAATAAGACTTGTGAGTTTAAAATAATTATACCTCCTCAAAACTGAAAGGTCCTCTTCTCTCTTTGTCAGCATTACCAAAGTACCACTCCTTCTCCCCCTCCCTCTTCATGTCTGGTGACGCCTCCAGCACGTTGCTCTGGGGAAATAAAGATTCCTGTTTTGATGCTGCAAGATCTATTATTTAACACAACTGTCCCAAAACAGGTCCTCAGTCCCTTTATGTACCAGCAATATGAAGAAATGTGTGAGATCAAAACCAAACATATGAGGGGAAAAAAAAATCTACATTTATATTTCTGCACAAGTGCAGAAGCAGCAAAGGACCAACACATTTAAAGCCTTTCTACATTTGGGTTTCCACAGATTGTGGATATTTAAATGGTTTAGTGTTGTCGGATTAAATCGAACACAAAAAGACTGGTTTTTACCTGAAGAGGCACAGTGGCTCTGCTGGTGTGCAGATGGGCCAAGGTGAGCAGGTCCACCAAGATCCGAACCCCGTTCGAGTCCATCACGTCCTTCACATTTTTCTGCACAACAAACAAAATAATGCGGGTTAGATAACAATGGTATGCAAAACTGAACCTCTTCTTTCTTTTCTCATTTTACAGCTTACCTTATGAAGAATGAGCTTGTAGAGGAAGAGGATGAGTCTGTCCCTTTCCAGCTTGTCTGTGCACTATAACAAATATATTACAGCTTAATGGCAGAAATCAAAACAGTGAAGTCGACCGAACTGACAGCTTGTTTGGACGTACCCGGTCTAGCATGCCCACAATGTATTTTGTGTCTGTGAAGGGCCCGATCTCTTCGAAGCACTTGCCGTACACTATTGCAAGCGCCTGCAGGCACAGGCACTTCATCGTTACTTTGGGCGTGAGCAGAAAACGATGGTAGAGTTCATTGAAGAACTCGTATCTACGAGCAGAGAGGAGGAGGAATAATCCTGTTTTACATCTCCTTCAGAAAAATGTTATTTGTGTGGCTGTGTTGTTCTCTTACGATCTCTTGATGGCACCCGATTCATCATTTTCATCTTCCTCCAGCAGCAGACGCAGATAATAATCCCCAATCTTTATTTCATCAGAAAGGCACTCATATTTCACCTGTGAAAAACACAAGATAAGCTGTGAAACTGTGAGAACTGGACCTGTATGTGTCTGTAAGTTTATGAATTTCTCTTCACGTGTCGTTTGATTGATAACAGACTTCTGAACAAAAACTAAATAAGACAAGAGGTCACAGAGTTATGCATGCCCCAGAGGAGCACAAACCTCAAATTCCTGGTGGTTCCAGGAAATGACGGTGGCGTTGCCGAGTTCGCGGTCCACATTAAAAGCACGCATCTCGCCCTCCAGAGCATCCCTCAGCTCCTCCCTGGTTTTAAGGTTCCAGATGAGGTTTGAGCGAGCGTGGTCGAGCTGAAATCTGWTGTGAAAACAAAAGAAAAGACGACAAAAAAGACAGAAATAGTGTGAAAACTAAAAGACAGATGATTTGGTCCTGCATGAGCTGCAAAAGGAGCTGATCATATCAACTAAAGTAGCTCAGTCAAGTCAGAGAAAGTGAAKACTTCAGTATCAGTTTCAAATTTAACTTAATGTAACTACAGTTTTTTTTCTTACCTGTAATAAAAAAGCTCCCAGTTTGCTTCAATCTTAATTCTCTGCCTCCTCTTCCTCAGGATGACAGGCTTTTGGTTGGGATTCTGAAATCAAACAACAAATTACACACATTATAACATAATTTTAAATATCTTTCTTCCCAGTAGGACATTTTCATCCATTTTCAGTTTATGACATGAAGAGATGTGAAGTTAGAATGGTAACAATATGAATAAATACTGAAAGAAAATTCATCTTTCTGGCCATTTGAAATCAGTTATTATGGAAAAACAACACAAAACAAAAATAAACTAAAAGAAGGAACATTTTGTAATTTTACCAATTCTTGACATGATCACTTCTTATAAAAGTCTTCATTATGACTCACAAAATAAGGATTACTGTCAATGTCATTCATGAACAAAAGACTTCAGTTAGCACTAAAAGTTACAAATATCAAGTTCAGTCAGCGTTGCTCAGCCGAATCGACCTCTGACTTAGGCAAAATGTCTTCAGACGACAGCCTCTAGAGTATTTTTCTATTTCTGTTTTGTGGATGTTAAATCGGTAAATGCCAGAGGGAGAAACAGAAATAGACACCCAGGATGCAACATGATGCTGGAACACGGTTTGTTCAGAAGAACATTTAAATTAATACATTTATCTTACAAAGCATGGACCCCACCAGTTAGTCCTACTTACCAAGTTGTTTCTGTCCTGCTTCATTGTTTAACAGCAGAAAAAMCAGACATGACAAGGAGAGAGTGGGGCAGAGATGGAGAGATTATTGTTCCTCAGATCAAACAGATGAATCACAATGTGTCAAAAATCACTCTATTGTGAATACACAGACTAATAACCTAAACTATTATTGAATCTTTTGATTTAACAGGTGACTGGATTATATCATTAGTTGAAGCAGTGTTTCCTAATTATTTGCAATAAAACAAATTATAGTTTAAAGAAAAAGATGGAGTGATTGAGAAACATTCAAGAGAACAAGCAAATCATATATTTTAGTGATTAAGAKGTTTTTAGTCATTGAAAAGTGCAGAAACAGATTTATAATGAAAGTAGCTCAGATCAGATGACACCAGCCTTCCAGACGGTTTTTGCAAAATTGTTTTAAACATATTCAAAACAAATTCAAACTGCATTTGTTGGTTTTTCACCAGCAACGTTTGGTATACTGGAAATAAAACTCAAGTAAACACACATTAAAAGCAAAATCACATAATCCTGGATACAACAGAGCTGATGCTGTTTTCCATGCAAAATAACAGCAGCGACTGAAATACAATAAATGTGTTTCGCTCTGATATCCTGCAGCAGAGTTCAGCATCAGCAGAAGGGGCGACAGTTACCGAAGCAGATGAATTCAGCAGCAGTAAAAGTATTTCAGCAGGTAAATCTCTAATTAAAGATACATTCTCACCTCCTTCTGAGCAATGCCCATCTTATCTCTCCAGTGCATCAGCACCAGATCAGCTTTCTCTTTGGCAAACTTCTCCACCTCTTTGGCTGCTTTACCTGCAATCCGCTGCCACTCAGGCACCTTGTTGCGATTTAGCTGATCCTACGATAAGCAACAACAAAAAGAGAATAATAAAAAATAAACATCAAATTAGTTTTTCATGATTCTACTCCGCGTTACAAAAATACACAAGTGTGTTTATTCGGATACCGTGGCTATTTTTAAGTTGTCGCGAATGTGCATCCTGTCCACGTCTTTCTCCGGGACGGCGTCAGGGCTGTCCATATAAGCTAACAAACCTGTCGGCTGCAAGCATTGAAGAGAACAAAACCCATTAAAAATTTAATATTTTTTATACCAAGCATTTATCGGGAGTGTGGGAGACGCATCAAATATGTGCTTCAGGCTTACAAGGATCCTTTTAAGGAGGTTCATGGCTACAGGGTTCTCAGCTGTCCACAATCCCACCAGGTGACGGCTCAGTTGTCTGACACAAAAACACACACAAGATGTTGAACTTATTTTACCGTGTTTATGTCRAATTAAATGTGTTTTCTGTCTGAGTAATGAAAAGAAAAAAGCTTTAGTGAATGAAGGCGATTCAAATAGCTACATTAAAGTGTGTTTGGTGAGACTCAACCTGTTGGTAAGCATGCGCTGGTCTGCGCTGATGGTGAACAGAGACGTGTGCAGATGTCTTGGCAAAGCCCCTTCACTCAAAGCCAGCTCTTGCATCTTTGTGGCTATTTCTTTATCTCCTTCCTGGATTTAAACAGAGTTCAGCAGAGCAGCATCATAGATTCAGAGCTCTTAGAGAGGATAAAATCACAGTAAAGATCTGATTCACTGCCCAGCACTTTGTCTAAAGAAAAACTGACCTCAATAATGGCTTTCATTACCAGGCCTGCTCCCTTCACTATCGCCATGGAGGGATGCTAAAAGGAAGACCAGGAAGAGTCAAAACACTGCAACAGTAATTTCAATTACAACATTAAACGTGACTAAACATTCCTCAAATGTTACATTTTTCCCACCTGGAATAGTTTGAATAACGTCCGTCCATCAGAGGCAACCATTTCAAGCAGCATGTCGAACTGCTGCCCATCAGTGGTTTCGCTGTAGGGGGCGCAGAGGGCAAAAGTTAAAAAGTCTAACAAGGAGCTGATGACCAAAGCTCCCGTTCCATGATCCTGGGAAAACAAGAGAAAGAAGAGATTAGGAAAACATCAAGAAAAACAGAAACCTCAGCAGATGTCTCAAAAAGTACAATAAGAGAAAACATAAAAACAAGTAAGTTCATTTTTAGACAGGCCTGACTTCAGAATGCTTTCTGACAGCAGAGAGGCATTTAAGGATTATTGATTTGAAAAGACAGAACATAAATCAATATGAATACTTCAGTTAATCGTGTATATATGCTAGAACTGGGCCAATTTTCATCTGCAGTGAACATGCTTTGTTCAATGAATTCATTCACCGGGGTGTGGGGGTGTGAGGTCTTTGGGGTCTTGTTCAGAAGTGATGGTAGGATGGAACAGGGAAGAAAAGGTTGAGCTGAAAGGCAAAGCTCTCGATGTACTGGTCTGTCTATGTTTCAAATCACACCTATGATTGTGAGGTTTGAAACATGGCCGAAAGAACGCGATCCCAGATACAAGCTGTGGCCGGGGAGACARATATCTGGGTTCCTCTCCTGAACCTGTTGTCTCTGCGGCCTGACTACAGATAAGCAGCAGAAGATGATGTTTCTTTAGTTTTTCTATCAATTGCACAGGATTTACCACATTTGTGATGAACTTTTCCAGAAGGTTTTCCAGAAACTTCTTGGAAGACAGAAGAGATGCCTTGTTCAGCTGCTCTTGTCTCAAGTCATAATCGTCRTGCATTGGCTGAGGGGGGAAACAAAGGAGGGAGCAGGACACAAAATCATTAAAATGAGACATGAAAACATTATAACATGGGTCGGTATGTAAAAATTTATTTTATACTTACACACATAAGAGCACACAGCATGTCTATAGCAGCATGAGTCACACTGTTGTTGTTCCTTTTTAAAGCTTTTACAGTCTTTACTCCCAATTTTTCTCTAAACCTGGAACACACAAACAAAATTGGAGAAAAAGAAATTACCTTTCTTCGACAAAGCAAACATCACAAAAAAATTTATAATAATAATAAATTAAAGCACAAACATAAAGGGAGGTCTGGGGTTGGATACACAAACAATTCATTGCTTCAAAAGTGACTTGTTGTTTCTTTTGCATAATTAGACAAATAAAGCTTGTGTTTTAAAAAGGAGAGCGTTTTACTTGATCAWTGCACTGGGATTCTGTGAGAGAAACAGCAAGCTACACTAACAATGAATCTTTCAGGAAAACCAATTGTGTCTCGTTACATAACTTCACAAATTACAAGAAATAAAACAGCAAATAAGAGTTCCTCTCATACATCTCAGTGACCCTGAAAGACTGGATGTGCTTTAAAAAAATACAGAAATGATCAAAGTAATTACTGAGAAGTTAAATAAAAAGGGCAAAATAAGAGGATAAAATGCTGATAAAAGAACAAGACAAAAATGAGGCAGACGGTTCAAGTGAATGAACGAAGCGATGTAACCTCACTTCTGGTGTGCGATGAGATGAAAGCAGCACAAAGATAAAAGAGGTGAAGGCTTAAAGCTAAAAAGAAATTAAAAATAAAAAGACTGGAGGAGAATGAGAATGATTTAAAACACAGACAAAAGGCAGACTGGGATGTATGGATTCATATTTACGCTGCATCTGTGAGTCCAGACCCATGACCAGACCTTGGAATGACAGAGCATGCCTGTTACCAGCAGCTCGGTAAAACTCCATTTGAGTAAGAATGAAAAGAAGGTGGGCGGGCCAGTATTTGTGCCGCAGTCTTACATACTTGGGCAGCTGAGTGAAGGCCTGGAAACCAGCCTTGGAGGCCACCAGGCGGCGGATGGCCTGAAAATGGCTTTCCAGCTCGGCGTTTGAAGCCGGCAGCTCAGACTCTTGGGATAAAAGAGACAGGATGGCGTTGTTGATGAGCTTCTCTTTGTTCTCTGAGAAAAGACCCTAGATGGAGAAAAAGACAAAGACGGCCATCAGAACTCAGGGTTTTCTACATTTCAAATTTACTGAACAAACAGATTAAACAGTACAAAGCACACTCACGTCTTGGGTTACAGCATGTAACACTCCACTGTAGGATATGTTGGCATTGAATCGAAACACTGCATCTGCAAAGTTTCCATCTGAACAAAGATGAGGAGAAAGAATAATTCAATTAAAAATGTGACCTGAGAAGTTAACAAGACAAGAAATGGGCTCTAAGGCAAAGGGTAAAAACTGGAAACACAAATAATAGTGTATATTTTCTGATCATCTCTCTACAAAGGGTATTTTTCAGATTACCTTGGTTTTAATACAATAAAAGCATACCTGGCTATAAAACATATAATGGAACATAATTAGAAAATAACTTAGAATAAAAATAGAAAAACAAGTCTAAAAACAATAAAGCATTATTAAAGCTTAAACRCTGAACAAATTAAATATTGACTTTCAAGCTCATTCAAATTGTAAAAACTCTGTTTTTGCCTGACTTTATTTCCATTAACGCAAAAAATATTTTGAAGAAAATAGCTGAATCCATTTCCTGTTTTCTGTGTAAAATACAAAAAGATAGCTCATTTTGAGGAAGTGCATGCTCAGTTAAAAATACCAACCAGTCTAACAGTTCACATCAAAACCAGTTTAAATACAGGAGGTAACAGAAGAGCTTCAACTTACTGGGAGGTGCAGCCAGAAATCTGAGGTGCCAACTCTCCACCTCCTCATCAACGGGCATGCTCAGCAAACCCCATCTTTGCCCCCTCTGCGTGGGGGCCATCTTGACGCATACATCCCTGTTGCCTGATGCACGGACTCCATCGAGGAGGCTGGCTAACAGGGAGTCTCTGCAGACGTACAAAGAAACAAGTTTGGAATAATAAAGATGTGTCCACCAACAGATTTAAAGATGAAGCAGAACCATATCCATGTAAACAAAATCATTTTGTAAATGTGGGGAAATAGTAAACAGAACAAGGCTGTTAAGCTGTGGCCAAAATGCCAGAAAAACCCTGCATGACTGTAGACCTAAAGCAAACAWAGAAAAAGATTTATATTTGTGTACCTTTCAGTAGAGGAATACTTCCTGATCTGGCCTCTGATGAACTCCACYGTAAACACCTGGGGGTTGTCTACATCACAGATAAGTGCAAACACCTGAGGGAACATGAGACAGGGTTCAGCAGAAACAAAAACACACAGTGGGATGGATCGACTTACACATGTTTCACAGGATTAAGTGTTTCTGTACCAGTAGTTTACTTACAGTGATTCAATTTACAACAATTAAACAAATACAAGTACTTCGTACAACCTTTATTTCTTAAATCATAATTAGACCAAACAAGAAAGTTCAGTTATGGCTCACCTCTCCAAAGGGTTTGATTGTGACTATGTTGTATGAAGCCGGATCTCTCTCCACCAGACATGTTTCTGTGAGGGCAATGATTCTCTTCACTGGCTCCTGGAGGAGACCAGAGCACACAAAGTTCATAACACCAGCAATTAATAAAACAAATCACAAAAACTATGGATATTATTAATATATGGGACTCTAAATTTATTATTTTCATGCTGAAAAGACAAAACACTATTAGGTCATAAATTTAAACCTTTCATGGCAAAGAAAGCTCCCCTCAGTAACATGGGCATGAGACATTGACAAGTATCTTAAACAATTTAACTTATAATAAACAACACTGTGCAATATTATAGAGGAAAATGTTTTTCTATTTCCTGGAAAGCCACATCTGGACTATACACGTTTAAATAATGTAAACGTGAAGATAATGAGTTTAAAATCCATTTCAGAAATGGGAAAAAAAAAACATTCAAATAACATTTTCTAATTTGTTAATCTAGAAAAACATTTCAGAAAACCCAAATGTCTGGCATGAAAAACTAAGAAACAAATGAAAGAAATGCAGATTTATATTTAGACCATACTTTGATAGGCATTAAGAAAAAATAAATTTAAAAAAAGGGAGTGCGTTCTGACCGGGTGTCGATTTGTGATCTTCTGCACCACGAACTCGGCCAGAGAGGTGATGCTGTCATCTGAGCTGTATTTCCCCAGCCTGTCCGTCACAAAACCCTCGAAGCTCAGAGGCTCCTTCCTCAAACGTAGCGTGATGCCGATGAAGTTTCCAGCGTGTTCTACGGCGCTGCGGATGATTTCATCTCGATGCTCAGATGCAAACAGATGCTAAAAATGAATAAAACAAATCAGTAAATATGTAGATTTTATAGTACCACATAAAATGAATTTGATGCACGTGAACACATGAATATGAATAATTGTGAGTACGCACTAGCCTGCTGAAGCCACCGTAAATGATGCAGAATCCTCCCTGGTAATCAGAAACCTCTAGAAAGCCTTCGATATTTCGATAGTCGTAGGAGCACACCACTCTGTTAGTGTGGGGGTCGATTTGGTCGATGCCGCCAGGTGTCACCTCTAAACTCACAGGCTTCCGCGTATCGCTCCAGTGGTGCTTATAGCAGTTGTAACGCTGTGTAATTTGCAGTGACACACAATTTTAGACATGGGACTTTTTAGGTGCATAAGTCCAACAAAAAATATTGATTTATTTAAACATGTTATAACACCTTTATTTATTTATTTGTTTAGTTCTTCCCGTATAAACATCAGAACTTACCCTACCAGTTATCTTCCCCTCTGAAAACTCTGTTCTGAATCTCTGCAAGCACAAAATGCAAACAACAGACCTGTCAGCTCTATGTAACAGCTGTAAACAAATTAAGATAACAAAACTACATACAATACTTTAAAAGAAACACCCATTCTTCTTGTTTTTAAACAATTTATCAGCTTACTCGTCTGTGTTTCACAGCTACAGTAAACCAATGGATAATGAATTCACAGTCACTGCATTTCTAACAGAGACATTTTTTAAACAGCACAACAAATTCTGGAGACACACTGTAACACAATCAGTAAGAATAATGGGTTTCAGATTTGAAATTATTTAATAATAACATGAATTAAGTATAAATGTGATTGTTAATGGTAACTGACCAGTGCTTCTGTGAGTAGCTCTGTCCGATGCTCTGTTGAGAACTTGAGCGTTTCCGACTTCTTGCCGCTGCCTTTACGGAAGGTGAGGCTGAATTCTGTCCCTTGACCTTTTCCTACTGGACCAATACCACAGATGTCTCCATAAGGCCACTGAAAAAAAGCAAAAGCAAACWAAGCTTATTAACACAAGGGGCGAGGTAGAAAAGGTTTTGGCAGCACATTAAATTTTTTTATCATCACACGTTAAAATCAATAAACACAAACTGATTGAGCACTGCACAAATAATACATGTGGAAAAGTTCAGTCAACTCTACAGGTAGGGTTGCATCAACATGAAAATTTCAGCCGATATCGATATCCAATATAATTATTGCTGTAAAGGCCGATAACCAATATTTACAGATATTACACAAACACACAAATTATATTATACATACACACAAACACACTTGGGTCTTTTTTTGATACTGTAAATAAACAACCAGACCGCTGACCTCTGGCTCTACTTCAGTTATCTGGCTGTGCAGCATCAATATCACCGTTACGATCAAACAGATGCTGCTCAACCAACCATCTCCCCTCCCAAAATAGAAACTAAAGCTAAAAATTGGGAAATTAATATCGGACGTTAATATCGGCCCAGTTTTACATATCGGCCAATACCAATATTATATCGTGCATCCCCATTTACAAGTGATTATAACCAGTGTTTCCCCTACCATTATACAGGCGGGGTGGGCCACCCCGCCAACGAGACGGCCCGCCCCTTTAAGAATTTCACGGCATGTAGTCATTTTTATTTAAATAAGTCCAGATCAAGTCCAAAGCTATTTTTTGCACCTCTCCATATCCACCTCTTGCCAATCTAGGGGAAAAAAAGATGGCGCAGAGCGAGGCTGAGCGCTGTGTGTGGTCGTCACAAAGATAGGAAGATGTGTGTGCACGCGCGATAAAAACTCTGCTTTTAATCACGTAGCACCRRTGCGACAATTTTGCAAACTACTTTTTCTTTCTTTAAAATAAAATGYGACAAGTGAAGCCACAGCACTGTTACCTTATCAATAATTTAGAACCACCAACACAGACCCCACGTGCGACCAGGTTCCCGCGAGTCTGTTCATGTTCTATAAATAGTGCTGATCAGCAGCGCAGCTGTAATGGTCCTCAACTTTTAAAAAAGTAACCAGAGTAGTTTGTAAACTCAAATCCAGACAGAATCAGCTGCTGTACAGGTCCTGCTGGACTCAAACATCGAGCTGAGCTGCTCCTCTCCTCTGTCACACACCGCAGGTCAGACAGTCCCGTTCAGGAGCATTAACCCTTAAGGGCCCAGATAATAATCGGTCTTTAAAATGTGGTAAATAAATTATTTTCAGTGACTGAGAGGAAGTTTTTTTGATAGTTGCATAATTGCATTTTCTAAATGTTATCCTTTATATCTACAACAGAGTTCTAATTCTTAGGACATGATTTGAGGTTTTTACTGATAGTATTTTATTTAAAACATGTTACAGAAGTCATAAGAAGCAGGTTTATTTTGAACAAACATTACAAGCGTGTTCATTCCTACAAAAAACTGTCAAATATATTTACAAACAACACYAAACTGATTCAGATTAACATAAAATAAATCATGTTTTATAATTAAATGTCTGTTTCCTGCTATAAAGAAAAATCCTCCTCCTGTCCTCCTTGTTCCTAATCAGGGTCAGGGAGGGGCTGGAACCTGTCCTCGCTGCCTTTGGGTGAAGACAAGGGACACCTGGACAGGTCTCCAGTTCACCAGAGACACCTGGACAGGTCTCCAGTCTCCATCAGGGACACAAAAGAAACAATCAACCATCCACACTCTGTCACACCTAGAGTCACACAGAAGAGCTCCAGAAGGTTTCAAACTGAGAACTCTGGACTCAGATCATCTGCTGCACATCATGAGGAGTCCTTAACTTTAGGATGTAGTTAGGCAATTAAATATTCATGAATGTGTAAATTTATTACCATAATTGAAGGTGAGTCATGTAAATTTATGTTTTCATAAAACAAGTAGTGCGTAGTAGTTTTTTTGCTAAAATGTAATGATTTAAAATGTATTTTCAGTAGCCACGTGAAGACAGGAACAGCAAATTCTGCCTGTGAGGCATTGACACAAAGAGGAGTGTCCTGTATGAGAATGGGGCTCAGGTAAGGAATGCTTTATATATACCAACCTGATTTGTTACTTCTAGCGTGGTAGGGTTGTAAGTGGTGATGGCATGTGTCCCCACAGAGAAGACTCGTTTGTATCTGCAACACAAAAGACAGGATGAGTCAGAAACACATCCCACACACTGCACACAGAGRCAACACCTCCAGCAGCTCAGGCCCTCACATTAACATTAAATACAGCACACAGGGTAAAAGTGTGACAGTCAATTTGTTACTTTAAAATGTCCTTTAGGCTACTAAAAACACAATTCTTAGAAAGAAAGCTTCATTATAGTCCCCTGTAGGATGAATATACGATAAATCAAAGAGATCATCAGGACTCAGTCACCATGTTCAGAGTTAATCCCAGCATTTTTGTGTCAAAGAATCACAAAGTCTCACTGGCAGCCTCTGTCAACACTTTCTCGATCATACGCTGGATCAAACTGAATAACGCAAAGTGTCAATGCTTGCTTTTACCATTTATTGTACGTAAATGCTAGTTCTGTACATTTGTTGACTCTTTGACAAATATTAAATGTAAATCATGTAGGCTGGTTTAGCGGCTCTAAAATGAGTCACGTTGACACTAAAGCGKCAACCAGTAATTCATTGAAGCAGTTATGAAAGTGTGTCTTTCACACACAATAGGAAGGAAGTGTGAAAACTGTGTATGTGTGTATGTTCCARTGTGTGAATTTCTGTATAATTGTATGAGCAAACAAGCATGTTTGTGTGGGCTGCCAACAGTTTTGGTTATCACTTTTTACCYAGGTTAGAACAATCTCCTGAGTGAATAAAAATGGGTTTTCAGGTTTTTGGTATAGATTGTAATAAGTGCAAATCTAAGAGGAGGAGGTGAATTGTGTATCTGTGCTCTTAGCCTACGCACAATCATGCTGACTTGGCTACTTTCCTTTTTATACATCCTCATTAAGCATGCATAACAAGAGGTCTGATGACAGCTGTTATGCTACTAAAAGGCTGAATGGGAGAAAATAAAATTGAAAGGTTTCTTCCACATAATGCATTTGTAGTTGAGAGTGAAGCAGGACAAACACAAACGGCCTGGGCAGCCAGAAGCCTAAGGCAAGGTTAAAGTGGAACAATAAGTTCAAGCACAGATCCCGTTGACACGAGAATGTTCTCTGGAAACGTTAGTGTTTTTTGCAATGTTGATTCTGCCCAACAAACATTTAAAAAAAAACACCCTGTTTATATTGATCTGCTGCAGTTTCTATGCTAGGTAAGGTTGCCAGATAGGAAATGACAAATTATGCATCGTGCATGCAGTGTCAGCATAAACATTTATATTCAAACTGGTGACTACCACACATGCCTTAACTTCAGCAGTTCAAATGGAGGCTTTTTTACTTTGTAAAGCAATGCTAGTGTTTAAAACACCAAAAAGTTTAACTAGCGTGTAATTGAAACCAGAGAAAAATAAACAATTTCAAATTGTTACTTATTTTAAAAAAAAGAAAAGAAAAAGAAGCCAAACACAAATTTAACTCATCAATTTATGGGCATTTTCCAAATGCAGCTTCCCTCTTTGCACCAACTCTGCTTCTTCATCCTTTCAGATATTTTGGGACACAAAATKTGAGACCATGCCTCTTCCTTCATATCTCGACCTTGGTTTCAAAAAGCTGACTTGAGCTGACAGTCAGCACCAAGCTAGTTAATTATTCATTCACTGTGGGCTGAATTGGTTCCATTCTATTTTAGTACACAATATCAAAATGTCCATAACCAGTGCATCTGCGAGGCTGTGTCTACAAATGTTTGCCAAAATCTCATGCACTTACCAAACATACTGTTTGCCAAAACTTAACAGAAAATTACCAAGAYGTGAATAAAAATGCCAGCTGTCTCTCTCTGTATCTTTGATAAGTGAAGTTGCGGAGCTTTTGCAAGACTATCTCGAATCCTGTGTAAGAGACACCTGTGGAGATTTCAGAAATCACTCTGTGGCCTTTCTAATTTACATTCTAAGTTATGAAAATTAGCCCGCAGAAACCTGAGACACCTACGTTGTACCATACTGACACGCACAAAAAAACTACAACAAAAAAAAGTACTACCGCTTTTCTCTYAAACACAGTAAGCCAGATGTATCACAGAGTCGACTGAGTGAAAATAGCCTAGATTAGTAAATTCATATTTCTGGCTCTGCTTTGGTCCAAGACAAATTCATCCCTGTAACAACCTCTATTTCAGCTTTGAAGTGATGCATTAATTTGACCATCTAATTTAACCTATGTACTTCCTGACACTCAAGGTACCAAAATGCAACTAAAGTGCATCAATCAATCCTGATTTAAAGTGCCTGTGATGTCAAATTTTTGTAATACATATGAATGAATTTTTAGAAAGAGGACATTGATAAAATATTGCAAAAGAAATTTCATGTCGCTGAGATGAACAGTTGTTGAGATATTTGCTTGTGAAGTAACAGGAAGTGATGTCAAATGGGAATGTTTGCATGTGAACAGAGCGTTGCTACGACAGCCAACAACCCTGACTGTAGAGAATAATCTGATGTTTCTTTAGACTATATTGAGTCAATGTCAGAGAGACGAAGAGTCAGAATTCACATAATATTGTTTCAATAAACAAAGACCGGAGTTTTATTTGTTAAAGAGTTCCCCAGTTTGATGTCACTTCCTGTTTCAATTTGGCTGAGCCAAGTTCAAAAGAAAATATGCCAGTTATTGGGTTAAATTGTGCATATTATTCCAACTTTTTTTAAATATAAAGATGTTTTCTTTGACTTTTTGTATTTGAAGAATAGTCACAGGCACTTTAAAGGAAAGTGCACGAAGTAGCAAATGCTGCTTATATCAATTTCATGTTANATCTAATTTAACCTATGTACTTCCTGACACTCAAGGTACCAAAATGCAACTAAAGTGCATCAATCAATCCTGATTTAAAGTGCCTGTGATGTCAATTTTTTGTAACACATATGAATGAATTTTTAGAAAGAGGACATTGATAAAATATTGCAAAAGAAATTTCATGTCGCTGAGATTAACAGTTGTTGAGATATTTGCCAGTGAAGTAACAGGAAGTGATGTCAAAGGGGAATGTCTGCATGTGAACAGAGCGTTGCTACAACAGCCAACAACCCAGACTGTAGAGAAGAATCTAATGTTTCTTTAGACTATATTGAGTCAATATCAGAGAGATGAAGAAGAGTCAGAATTCAAATAATATTGTTTCAATAAACAAAGACCAGAGTTTTATTTGTTAAAGAGTTCCCCTTTGATGTCACTTCCTGTTTCACTTTGGCTCAGCCAAATTCAACAGAAAATATGCCAGTTATGTGACAAAATGGGTTAAATTGTGCGTATTATTCCAACTTTCTTAAATATAAAGACGTTTTCTTTGACTTTTTGTATTTGAAGAATAGTCACAGGCACTTTAAAGGAAAGTGCACGAAGTAGCAAATGCTGCTTATATCAATTTCATGTTAAACTAATGTACAGAATAGTTCAGCTTTACAGGTATAAAAATGCCAATGATAAATATGTGGGGTTAAACTAYAAAGCATGTGTTTAAATCTCTCCTTCCCGTCTGAAGTTTCATAATGCATCATATTAGGCAACTTCCTATACTAGAATCCTAACCACCTCTCCTGTATCAGCAAATTATCCCTCAAGTCTGACAAATAACACTAAACTACACAAGTGCAACACAAGGTTAWGCTAGACAAGACAAACATAACAGTATAACTGAAAGGAGCAAAGTCATATCACTTTACTAGAAAGTTCAAACAAAATTTAAAGAGAACCATTGAAAAGACTAAAATAGTACAAAGATCATTTTACCCCAGGCATAGATTCCTGATCATTTATTGTTTTAATTTTTTGAGTCAGTAACCTAGAGATATGAAGACTTTCAGCAGACAGGACACATTTTGACCTAATATTTAACAACACTCAAGACTTAAATAGAGCTGATCATGAACACRAAGAGGTTATAATCTAACACCCAGGAGCAATCTGAAAAATGTAAGGGTGTAACGAAATAATATGAACAGGAAATATCTAAAAACTTGCAGATCCATTGCATTATRTTTGACCCAACCATCTACTGTATGTCTGCTCCACCCAGCCACTGTGAGCTCTGTCAGCATTTATGYACTGTTGTAAGTGACAGTGGTGCACATCTCTGCTAAATGTGAAAAACTGYATCTTACAAGCACCAAAGTTTCATTTTCATTTCTTCCTCTCTGGCTTGTCCATTCTTGCCCAATTACTTACATTATTCTGTCWTTTKTCTCCCCGACTTTCAACACTGAAATATCAGATTAATATAGACGCTCCAGTTCAACAATGCTGCCATCCTCCTTAGCTACATCTAACTCGTGGAGAGTTACTGTATATGGCACATCGACTAATTCAAGTAAACCACCATGAGCGCCTTACACTGTGTTACCTGGACATACTTCATACATCGACACTGCCCAACATGACAGGAAGCATTAGCAGGATGAATCAGTGAGGATCGCTAATGCGCTGCAGCCCTGCTYAAGTTACTCCGGTCAATGGGAGACTTTAATGGGGCAAAGACATTTAGAAAGCAGGTATTGGTAATSTGACCTCCTACCAGCTCACTGCTCAAACTGGAGCCTGTTCATTCCATTAGCATYAAGGGCCTCCCAAGTATGCAAAAAATATATATCCAACCATGGAATTCAAATACTTCACATGCATGCACTACATGTTTACATAGCTATACTTATTAGTCTTATTAATCTTTTTAGATTTCTAGAAAAGGGGAAAAAATATTTGGAAGAGGGCACATTCAACAACCCAACATAACATCCTGTTGTCTAACACTGAGTAGGTTGTGAAAGCAAAACACAGTCAAGTTGTTATCACATTTAAGATACAATTTATTTTACTTTGACTGACATTCATGCAAACAATGAGTTATTAGCTGTACTTTTACTAGAATTTAACAGGCAATAAATTCATACCAGGAGCTATAGCTGTACTAGAGTGGGCTACAAATRTCTGTCCTCTGTTTACTGTTAGTATCTGTTCCCTTAAGTCTCATTTCACGGTAAAGTGCAGGAAAACAYAACTGCAGACAGACCGTTTGAGGACCTCTTATCCTCTGCTGCGATACAGACGAGAACACAATGGAATTACTGAGTCAGTGGTTTTTAAGATTTTCCCAAATCTCCTCAACCAGATAAGTAGAAGTTGTGGTTCATTTTTGTTGTGTGAAATGAGATGTAGAYGGTGTAAAATAAAAACAAACAAAACTAAATAAATACCACAAACTTKGACARTTTATTCTGTCTGTTTAAAATAAACAAACAAGTAAATAAGTTARGGTCTTACTTTCCCCTCCAGGAGTGTTTGGTGGTGTAGAAACAGGCCAGGTCTTTGTTGTCTTTGATGACATTCATCTTTTCCCAAGACCTAAAACACAGAGTCARACTTATAATTAGGACGTTTCACATAGAAAATAGAAGATTAGGGATTTTATTTGGATAATTATTTGTATTTGTTACACTAAAATAAGAGAATTAAAAGCATTCAGATGGATTTTTGCTTTTTTTTTTTACCATAAACATTGAGAGAGAAAATGACACAAACTTCACAGKGTTAATCAAAATGTTCCAGCTCAGAGAAAGTGTTTCCCACCAACCCCCCACCCCAGCGACATCACACTGTAAACAGCTATTATCCAACAACAGAGAGGAGGACATCCCTCTCAGCTMGCCAGTTCCACAGATTTAGACACAAGCACATGACTTACAATTTATCATTTCTGTGCCTTTTTTGCAGACTACTATGATACAATTTACTGAAGACAATAATAACCAAATCAGTACAACAGGGAAGCAGATAAGTCTAAGAAGTCAGGGATAAGCAAGGCTACAGTATGATTAGTGTRCCTAGGTGTAAAAATATAATGTAAAAYTACAATTCAGYATTTAAATTAGGAAGTGGCTCGGTTTGTGAAAGAGTGATCAAGCAAGTCAAAGATTAAGCCTTAAAGGTAACCAGATGATAGCAAAGCAAAAGGAGCCAAAATAGTCTCTCCTCTTCCACGTGCAGTAATTTGCTGGCAGCTGCACAGTGTGACAAGGGGAACCTGTGTCAGCACTCAGCCAGGATCCTGGAAAAAAAATCCAACTACAGTTTTCCTTCCTGTTGAGTTCTAATGTGCAAATGAGGCAGCAAAAAAAGCAATATGGCCATTTTTTGCCCACTTTTTCATGCCCTAAAGAGACAAGTGTCAGCCATTTCAAGAATCATTTCATAACGACAACATTAAAAGTTCAGGTCTTGTGTAAACACTGATTAATACTGTGATTTGATGTAAAGCAGCAGGATCACAATATGCACAAAGGTCAACACCCTATGTTTGCTCTTTAGAGCAGCAGTTGATAGGGGTGTAAGAAAATATCGATACACTGAAATATCGCGATATTTCATTTCCTGATACTGTATCGATAGTCWAAAGCCCTGTATCGATTTTTTATTAAGGTTTAAAATGTCAACTTTCCTGCCAGCCGTTCATTTTTATGTTGTAGTTCAGCCTCTGACCACTAGTTGGCAGCAGTGAGCCAGCCATTTGGCTCCTCTACCTCTTGAGGTAGAGGCTATTGTTAAATGTTGGGTGACCATATTGTAAATTAATATTAAAAACTAAAAGCTGCAAAAATATATTTTCAAACTATTTATTGTCAAATTTAGTCTAGTAATTGAAAACATGGATGAAATAAGAAATATGAAACAAATRAAATAAAATACATACAAAGCAGAACACAGCTAAATGTATCAAAAGTATGTCTATGTAATATTATCTGAGACAATGAATTTTGGTTTTTCATTTTTTTTCCCCCTGTAAGAGGTTTTTATTTAATAGAATTTTTGGACAATAAAATCGCAATATATCACCTTGCTTACAGTATCGCAATATATCAGGATATATCATATCGTGACCCCTCTGTCATGATATGTATCGTATCGCCAAATTCTTGCCAATACACAGCCCTAGCAGTTGAGCACTTTTTTAATTTCATTACCAAAACAAGTTTGATGTGATGAGTTAAAAAAAGGGTCAAAACAGATGCCAAGCCATGATCATGTGATTGCCCTTCCCATTTTCCCAACCCTGTATACACACAAACTGTGAATCACTGGAGCTACCTTGACAGTTTCCTAAAATTAGGAAAAAAAAGGAAATGTAAATAAAAACAATGACTAGAGGGCAGGGAAGCAAACTTCCTGCAAACACAGCACTGAACAAATGAAAGCTGTGACTTGAATCACATAGTACTGGTGCTTGTCGTCAACTACACATCTCGCAATTTGGACTGAATGAAACCTCTAAAAAGAGGTTTTAAGTATCAAACGGTTACCTTCTAAACTGTCTCAGCAAACTTTTCACAGCTGTGTAAAAATAGGCAGAATCACCAGGTTTCTTTAAAAGACGAGAAACTACCTCAGCATCAGCGTGAGGGCAAGGGTCAAACTGTCATGTGCTACTTTAACAGTCTATAGCCCTGTCATATTTTAATGTCAAGTTAAAAAACATGTAAACGGATGATACATTAACTTATAAATACAACTAGCCACTCACACAGGTGTGTTGCGTTTTGTGGACAYACACACCTGGATGGATTTGGACTTTCAGAATCAAACATAAACTCTACTTCTAAATTCAAATAGTCATAAAATGAGACATGAATGATTAGAGTTTTATAATTTGAAACAAACCTCTACCTTGTTTTTGACTTTTATATGAAACTATCCATCCTCCAACGCAGGAACTTAAGATCAGGAATTACTTACCCACTTTGTAAATCAGGATTTTATGCTAGCAAAACGTAATCCACGCAAATTGTGAAGTGACATTAAAAGCATTTAAAGGCCCTAATTGTAACTCTTAAGCCCATTTGTGGACGTGCACCGGCCCCCCGTGTCTGTCAAGTAAATCCACGACAAACAGCATTAACGTTACCTGGCAATAAAGAAGCTAGCCCAAGTCTGTTTCATTGCAGCAGGCCTTCACGGTTTACTGTCAGGCTAAAAACAAAACACAACTGCTCTCTTTTGTGATGTCGACAATAATGCGCCGCCTAACCAGACCGAGAACAATACTCCAAATACCTCTCTTATCAGCGTTTGTTTGCTAAATGCATTTTGGGGGTTGCGACAGGCCAATATTGGGTTAGCCACAAATTAGCGGCTAACTAGCACATCAAACAGGTCTTAGCGCTGGAGTTAAATGTAGCGAAGAAGAAAGGGGGCGGAAAGTGGCACACGAAAACGGCTGCATTTACCTGTTAATTCGTTAATGGGTGTTAATTGTTGCCGTTCCTCAGCCCCACCACCGTTCACTGAGTTCAGCCAGTGCTTCAGTTCTGCCGCGTATCCCCCCTCCTCAACAAGAGTCAGGACGCTGCCATGTTCCTGATACCAAAAAGCGCTCTACTGAGCAACCGCGAGGCCTGCCTGTCATGCGGCTATCAGCTGATTGGTTTGTGTGGAAGAGGAATTATCGCGAGACCTGACCCGGGATCAGCAGTCTGTGGGTTTCCTGCTGCGTTTGAATGGATCGTTACTATCAAAGCCGACCTCAGAACAGAATTGTAGTGGTGATGGGAATTCCGAGTCTTTTCCGGGATTTGAATCATTTGGTTCAACAACAGCAAACGATTCGTTCGAGTCCCAAGCAGTTCTTCACTCAGCAGCTGGTACTTTAAGTTGTTTTATTTATTTATTTATTTATTTATTTATTTATTTATATTAGTATTTAATTAGTTGTTGTGCATACATATGTATGATGCCAGTACTGTTCAAAGTAATTATCTTTAAATTTACAACTTAATAAATACCTCACATTTGCTAAATRCCTTATCTTTAACATGACACCCACACTTATGGATAAGCTAGATGCTTCTAATGCTAAAAAAAACGAGAGAGAAAATAAAATAGAAGAACTAGAACTAGAAGAATTGAATTTAGTTAAAGAGTTGGTACATTGAGTCGGTTTGATCGCAACAAAGACTGTGGAGCTGTCATCCATAACTGGAAAATATTAAGTAAGCTRCCATATAAAATCACCAACATGTGCAGTCATTATTTATTAAAGAATTGGAAATGCACATCACTTTCAATATCTAGGCGTGTCAGCCATGTCATTAAAACTTTGATTTGAAGAATGTATTTTATTTTATTTTATTTTATTTTATTTTATTTTATTTTATTTTATTTTATTTAACCAGGCAAGTCCTGTTGAGATCTCTGATCTCTTTTTCAAAGGAGGCCTGGGCCTGAAGGCAACCTGTTGTACTTTTTTTTTTTTTTTTTTTTAGTTTTTTGAGGTTTCCCTTTTGTTCTGTAGACAGTTATTTGTTTGTACTTTCTTTTCAGAAAAGAATGCTGATTTGGTACCTTTTTTGTAAGTTTAAGTCAGGGTAGATAAAGGTTATCACAGATATCAGCAAACTACTTGATAAAAGTTAAACTTGTGTAAAATACAACTTTTTTTTGCCATCTATGGACACTGTCACATTAGTGCAACAATGCATAGGTTAACAAGGAATACAGCACATTGCCTTCAAACTATTAAAACATGTACACCTGCTCATGTGGATAGACATATGAGCAACTTGAAACAAAATATGCAGAACCATAAAGAAAACAGTCTCTTTAGACATTGCTGTTTARGTGTCACAACTAAATATAATAAATGTTGTTGGTTTGGAGGAAGTTAAAGCTAAAAAATKACATGTGACAACTGAAAACCAAACAATATCAAACTATTTTTGCTTTATATCTTGTCTGTTTACAATTTACCCTTCATAACGTTTTATCTGCCTTTGAGATTAGCCTTTATGCTTTCTACAAAAACCTTGCACCAACCAACTTTCATCTAGAGGTAATTTCTATGTGATAGTTTCACAAAGGTATTTTTAGTTCAACTGTTGCTGGAACATAAAGGTAGTGATCAGACACAATCTGCTGAGGAGAACTGCACTAACAAAGAACAAAAAAATAACAGCAGTGATCTGAGTCACAGCTTTTCAGCTATGACTACTACTAGTGTTTGTTCTTTTTTTTTTTCAAATCATAAATGACTCACCGTGAATGAAGGTAAAGGTGGAACATCTTGACTTGTGTTACTGACTGATGTTTTACACTAAACCTGAGTGAAACAGCTCAGATTGGTCACGTTATGAGGCATCTGATTGGGTGACAGACCATGCGYTGCTCATTAGTCTAATTTAATTACAGCAAGAGAGAGATGAGGGAAAGAAATGTTTCCTTTATTTTTTTTCTCTGTTGGAATCTCATTTAATAAAATGGAGAGGGAAGGGCTTTAAGTTTTAACCAGGATGAGAAGACTGTCTCCCAGAATCTTTATTAACATTTTATTTGACTCAAATGACTTTTAACATGCCTTGTATTGAATACATTTATTAAACAAGGCTTTGGGGGGGGGGGGGGTTGTGTTGTTGATGTGTAAGTAAAAGCATGGCAACATTATTTGGCTGTGGGCTGCTATTGGGGTTGTAGGCCTATGTCATAAGAAAATATGATCGTCTTTTAAMGATAAAAATGCTTTCAAACATGCATTCTATGCAGAAGTGATACACAAAGTAAATAAACAGTCATGACTGTCATGTCAAGACCTTGTCCTGTGCTCCCTCTCATTTTTTTCAAAGGCTTGTACTGCCATCTAGTGGTCGAAATTGCTCATTGAAGCCGGTCCAGTAAATGGAGCTTTTAGTATTGAAAAAACTATGAAAAATGTGAATTAAAAAATGAAAATATAGTGCAACGCTAAAAGAGGGCGATGCGTGTAGTTAAAATAGAATGATCAGGAAATATTAATAGGTATTTGGGCAAATCATTTAATGCAGCAACGCTGCATCATAATATACGAGAATAAAACATAAAGAGGATTTCATGGTTATGTTAAATAATATAAAGATGTTTTAATAAAAAAAATCAAGAAATATTTCTGTACACAGGAAAAGCAGAATCAGACGATCATTACTGTACAATCTTTAGGTCACCATACATTATTGTAAAAATGATTACTTGAATTCAACAATACATACTGAAAGTAACATGGAGAAGATAAAACAACGATGTTACAAAAGTGATGATCGTGACACATTTAAGGACAATCAGTCAAATCAACTTTACATGTCCATTATAACAAACTGTAGCCTATAATAATCACTAAGCTAAAGTATAAAAGATAAATAAAACGTAAGTACTCAATATTAACAATTTTGTTATGTTGAAAGTGTAATATTTTTCACATACAGCCTCAGTTTTGTTTCTCAAGCAAAACATCGTTCAAATTACGTGCTTTTCCATTTTTTACGTAGCGGCATTGAACGCACCTCTGGTAACCAAGGTAATGACGCTGGGCATTCTCGAAGCAAACACTAGCTGGATAGCTAGGCTAGCGGTTTTATAAGGTAATCTCACGGTTATAGTTTAACGTGAAGTTTGCCTGTTTACCGAGTTAAACACAGTTAAAGAAGTTTACAAGATTTTGAGGCCAGCGAATCAATTCTAGGTTTTTTAAATTTGCTTCCCCCTGCCTTAGACAGTCATCTTTTTTTGGATCAACTCCGATAAGCTACTCAGCCATTATGGTAAGTTAGCTGCCGTGTGTTGCAGAATATCACACCTGAATAATATAATTTTCTAAACGTGGTGCTTCAGTTGAGTAAAGAGCTAATGTTAGCATCTCCTTAGCTGTGCTAGCTCACGTGAAGAGGCCTCGTAACACAAGAGAAAATCCTCTTCAAGTTAGCTAAGCTAATTGTGGTTGTTATTTCATTAACTGTCTTTTTTCTGAATCTTTTCTGATATACATTTTGGCATCAAGTTTCTTTCTTTTTGTCTTCATGCAGGCTGACTTTGGGTTTAACGACCATCATCAGAATGAAATTATTAATTACATGCGATTTGCCCGTTCAAAGAGGGTCCTGAGTCTTAAGACGATCGACTCATGCTTCGAGGAACTCAAAGATAGCAGGTAAACTCTTTTATTGTGTAAATGCACTKTATTACGATTTTATTCTCATCGTCCATTAAAAAAGGTTGTAATGAACAGAGATGTGCTGTAGTGACAGATAGCTTCAAGGTGGGGGGTGGGACAGCATCAGGGATCAGCTCTGAGCCCCATCTTGTTTGTTCTGGTGATGGACAGACCAGCAGATGAGTTCAAGCAGGAATCTCAGCGGACGATGATGTTTTGCAGATGACGTTGTGAAATGTGGTGAGAACAGGGAACACTGAAAGAGAACTTGGAGAGGTGGAGGACACGAAGGAAGAGGAATAAAAGTCAGCTGTGACAAAGTGGAGTACAGCACAGGTTGAAAGACTGGGAGATCAAGTTAGAGAGGGCAGGCTGAGATGGTTTGGGCTAGGGCTGCAACGATTAATCGACGACTAATCGATTATGACTAATTTAATAATCGATTAATCATTTTGTTTGTTCTTTACTTTGTTTTTCTCTCCAAACTGCTTTGACACCTTCCACTGCCACATCTGCCTTTCTGTCCTTGACACACATGCACAGTAGTGGTAACTGGGGTAGGCCGTGGACGTCACAAGACATTATACAGACAGGCTTTGGTATCATGGCTACTCAGCAACGGAGCTCAAAAGTGTGGGATCATTTTAAGAAAATGAAAGAGAAACCTGTGTAATATCTGCAGAGCAGAACTTGCCTTCTACAGCAATTATTTTTAGTTAGCATATAGCTAAAATCTAACCATGGTTATATAATAGCAGCTGCATTCTGGCACAATAAGCTCTATGTTTTATATTCAATTAACGTATGATCTGATTAGTCGACTAATCGGAAAAAAAAAATCAGTGATTAATCGATTATAAAAATAATCGTTTGTGGCAGCCCTAGGGTCAAACAATGTTTTAGTCAAACAGAACCAACAAGAATGAAACAAAAAGTAAAGAATTAGAGAAAAAAATTAATGTTAAATGTAAATAAATTCTAATTATAATAAATTAATAATAGTTTTACATCTAAAAATCATATTTTATTCTTTTAATCTATTTTCCTCATTCAGCWACCTATTAAATTTCTGTTATGTTTCATGTAGGAGAAATACACATTTTTTTCAGTCAGTATTTAATACAGCTGGCAAAATAAATTGTTAAAATATGTATTATGTGCTTCTGTTTTTTAATTCAGATTAAAAAAATCCTTCATGTTACGTGAAGACCCTCTTGATTCAAGAGAAAACTCTGGTTTTTAAAAAAATGGCTGCTTATTAATTAATTGTTGATCAATCTATAAGATAAATCAACTTCAGATTAATTCATTAATCAATAACTTGCATCCTTAAGGAGTTAACTTAATTTATATCTACTCATATTCATGCAATTAAGCGTTTTAATGATTTGGCCGATTAATCGATTAATTGAAAAAATAAACAACAGATTAATCGATTATTAAAATAATCGTTAGTTGCAGCCCTAGTTTGGACGTGCGGAGGAGGGACACTGGGTATAGTGGTAGAAAGATGTTAGAGGTGGAGCTGCCAGGAAAAAGACAAATAGGAGCTCTGCAGATACAGTTAGAGGACATGTACATAATTTGAGTAAAGAGTAAATCTGTGCTTATTGATGACTTTCCTGTCTGAAAGGCTGGTGGAGGAGACGTTCACGGTGGACGAAGTGAAAGAGATGCTGGACGGGCTGCAGATGGTGGTGCGTGGGGAGGTGGAGATGGAGCTCATCAACACGGCCCACACTAACGTGCTGCTGCTCAGGCAGCTTTTCTCTCAGGCAGAGAAGTTTTACCTTCGACTGCAGAGTGACATCTCAGAGCTGGAGAACAGGTGAGCTCTGGAAGGGGAAGCTGATCTGGGTCTCCTGCGAACCGCTGAGCTCAAAATCCATAAACAGAAAAAATAATTTAACAGGCAGAGTCACATTTTTATCCAAATAGTTACAAAAATTTGACTTAATGTAAGGTTTTATAAATCTAAAATGATAGTTGCTTTATACTGCTACTTTTATCATTAATATAATTGTCATTTTGGAAAAAAAACCATGGGATAAAGCTGTTTTTTTTACCTTGCTTTTCTGGTTGTTCATTTTATTTTGAAAACAATCTGATAGCTGCCATATGAAACAAACAGGTCTCTAAATAGCTCTTACTTTGTACCAGTTTGTATCTCATTTCCTCATTGTCTTTATTACATTCCATCTGCCAGGTAAAAAGGTCACATGTATGAGGTATATGTATTTTGCTCTACTTTCCATTACACATGTTTATTCCATTACAACACTCTAGTCTGTTTTTTTAAAACGGACATTTAGTTAGTCTAAACCCCACAAACTAATACCTTTTATGGTTGATAGAATAGAATACGAACAACATATTTCATTTWATCTTATCAATAGTGAATCTAACAGTCTTTCTAATTAGATTTTTGGGGGTCTGCTGGACATGATTTCCATCCGTTATTGTTCAAAAATACTTTTTATTACCCCACATTTCTACTGCACTCCTTATTACGTTCTGCGTTTCACTGAGARTCAAAGACTTTAGAATATTATTAAACTGGCAGGACAGTGGACAAAACTATATATGAAGTGGATAAAGATAAGATTTGTGAAGATTTCAGCCTTTGAGAGCAGAACTGGTTTATTGCAGAGGTGGTTTACGCCCATCGCAGCCAGAGAAAAGTTCAAATGTGTCACATTGTTGAGGTTGGACAACAGAAGAAAGATGCTTGATGCAAGCTAAATGTTTCAGTCAGTCAGTTTTGTAAAATAGCTCTTTTAAATAACATTTTGTAGTAAAAGCAAAATAAAAAAGGTGACATTTTTTACTTCAACTGGCTGTACACTAATGTAGGGAGTAGCTAAAAGACTCTTGGTAATAAGTGAAATCGTTTCAAGATGTTCTTACGTGTGTGCCATATTCTAGAGTTCAAATCTTTACCATGCATTTACAAACTTACAATAAATAAAACTTGTTTATTTTTCTTTACCAATTATTCAAAGAGTTCCTGAGAATACAGTATATCATCGTTTTTTGCACATTACTAATCATTTTCTAGATTTAAAAAAAGGCCAGTTCTCGTTTGGTTGCACGGGCCACGCTAAGTTCAAAACAAAAATACGCCAGCTACCTGACAAAATGGGTAAAATTATGTGTATTATGCCAAATTTCTTAAATATAAAGATGTTTTCTTTCAGCTTGTGCATTTTTAGGCACTCTGAAACTATAAAAGGGGCTAAATGGATAAAAAGATTTTGTTATCAAAGATATTCAAAATGTTAGATTTGACATTTAAATGCATTCTAGAAATCCAAACGACACTTGACGCTTCCTCCATTCGTCAGAGATATGAGAAATACTTTTGCTTTATTAGCACACATTACATGAGCAAAAGTTCACACGCCCTGTTGTTCAGAACATAATTTCACGCTGGGCTTGCTTGATCAGCGTAAACCTCCCCAGAGCACAAATCTGCACTATCTGCCCTCGCTCCTGAACTCTGTCTAGCTTCTGACCTCAGTCACCTCTCACCTTTGAAACACCGTATTCTAAAGAAGATACTTTGTTTATAATACGCACATGGTGGGTGGATAAACAACGTATAAACCCTCTCTTTTTTTCCCCCCACAGGCTACAGCTGTACGTGACTGAATAGCTTTCTAGAGCCAGGAATACGCCCCTTGTCACGACCTACGTGTCTTCAGCTGCTTTTTAAAAAACCACATATAAGCTTTGTTGAGAACACTTCAGCTCACCACAAGCACGTGTCTTTTAACATAAGAGCTAAACTGCCATCAGGAAAAACAGGGTGTTCACTGTTCTTTGCCAAAAACTCACAACCGCTACAGAGTAGATTGTAATGTTAGCAAAGATCAAAATCGACACTGAGGTCAGATTATCTCCGGTGTCAGTTGTACTGTTCAGTGTTGCTCACAAAATACACATTTTACAAACTGGACTGTTTTTTTTTTTTAAGGCTAATCATTCATCATGAGTTTTCATGTGTTTTTCTTCTTGCGTGTTTATAGGGAGCTTTTAGAGCAAGTGGCTGAATTTGAGAAGACTGACTTTAAAACCACCAGTAAGGTACAGAAGCCATGGTTTCTCACATGTAGAACCTTCAGACGCACAGTAGCATATTTACACCAACACGAATCAGAAAAGTGCAGCATCTCTAGACATTTGAGTCTTTCCCAAAAGCTTCAGCTGCAACTTCTTCGTTTTATTTCCAGATAAACCAAGAAACGAGCAAACCCAAGTTAGCGCCGTTGAATGAAGGCGGGGTGTCGGAACTTCTTAATAAGGTAATGCATTGTGTTAGCTGCACGGACTGAGCGCAAAGCTCTACTGTTATTATTAAAACCCTTAAACACAATTGTTGTTTTTTTTTACTTTAAGGAAATAGCGAGACTACAGGAGGAAAATGAGAAACTGAAAGCCAGGCTTCGGACTTTAGAATCTCAGGTATAAAAGTAAACAAACAAAAAAAACTTTCTCTACTACATTTTTGTTCTTAAAATTAGTAACAACTGTTGTTCTGTTCCTATGAAAACGATTGCTGACAGGCCATGAGTGCCTTAGAAGGGAAATCAAAGGTAGAGCGAGCCCTGAAAGACCTCCAGAAAGTGCAAGGTGAACAGCAGGTACTGTTCCAAATCGTGTTTGCAATTTACAAAAAAATCTGTTTCACAGTTCAGCGATGTTTTCCATTTTATTTATACTGTATATATTTTTTTCCATCAAAATTCTTGCTGCCATTTGCTTTAATCTGCTAACTTTGAGCTAAATGGTATGTATCCATCTGTTAGAAACACAACTAGTAGATTCTGTATCTTCAGGCTGTTTTTGCCACAATCAGCCGTTCAGGCCATTTGAGCCCTAACTGGGTTTTTTTTCTTCTGCCCTCAAGCTTGATGCTCAATCCCAGGAGATCAGCAGTCTAGAGAACACAGTAGCAGCCCTGAAGGAGGACTATGAACGGTCTCTCAGCGCCAACGCTGCATCGCAGAAGGATTTGCAAGAGAACCTCATCTCTGCCAAACACGAGCTTCTAAGAGTGCAGGAGCAGCTGGCCTTAGCAGAGAAGGTATGTCAGTGTTCCAGCTCTGGTTTCTGTCTGATAATTCACACCAACAAGTGAGATGGATTGGTACAACAGTCAGCGTGTCACTGGTTGTGTTGATTGGGAAGTTCAGCAGTGGCATTGATGCTAATGACTGCCTTCCTCTTTTTTCTACTTGCACTCATGTCATACGATCGTGCAGCTGACGGTTCTTTAACAGGTCGACCAGTATCCTCGGGTTTTCCCCATAMCTTTGGTGTTTTTGTGAAATGCTTCGAAACTCATCATGAAAAAAGGTTATTCCTCCCCACAAAAACACAATGCCCCCGAACTCCCTGAAACACTTCCTCTAAAGTCCAGTTCGTTTGTTTCTATTTTAATGTTATTTACAAACCTCACCTTGGAACACATTAACATAATTTCTGCTCAGTGGGTAATTTTGAATGCCTCACGTGACTCAGTGGTTCTCATAGCAAGAAGCTCCTGAGTTCTATTCCCAGTTTGGACCTGGGGTCTTTCTGTGTGGAGTTTGTATTAGGGTTGGTCAAAATCGTACCGTGCRCAATTAATCGTCATAAAAACTTTAATCTTTTTTTCCCTGACACTTGACGATTAATAGGATTAATGCCATCAGGCCGACTGACTGGAGAGTTCCCCAGTCAGTCCACTCGGTGCTCCTACACTTTAAATATGGCGAACATTTAAAAAAAGGTTCTGTAAATAATTTATCATAACTCCAGTTTTACTTGGTCTGTCAACAGGGCTGTGTATTGGCAAGAATTTGGCGATACGATACATATCATGACAGAGGGGTCACGATACGATATATCCCGATATATTGCGATACTGTAARCAAGGCGATATATTGCGATTTTATTGTCCAAAAATTCAATTAAATAAAAACCTCTTACAGGGGGGAAAAAATGAAAAACCAAAATTCATTGTCTCAGATAATATTACATACTGTAGACATACTTTTGATACATTTAGCTGTGTTCTGCTTTATATGTATTTTATTTTATTTGTTTCATATTTCTTATTT